AATCTTAAATAAAGTCAGTCATAGAGATCTACTATCTCGAACGAATTAGATGACCAAAAATCATTTGTTGTCCAAATTCAAACCAGGCTTTCAGGAAGAATGACAATGTATACCATGACCTCGATATATTATCTCTCCGGAAGCTCAGTGACTGTATCTGCCAACCAGTCATGAACATGAAACCCTGCCAGAAGAGACTTGATATGTGAGGGTGGTGCCAATGCCACGCAACATGCAGATGGGTTCTTGATATAAACGAATGTCTGGGCTTACTTTGGATTTTCTAGCAGCTTGAACTTGCTGTTGTCTTTCGGAGTTTCTTGCATCCCTGAGCGTAGCTGTGTTAACTTGTGGATGTGGAATTGTCGTTTGCGTCTCGTCGACACTATCTGCATCAGATTCGTGAGGCGATACGACTATTCCCTGCCGCTTTCTCTTCTCACGTCGCAAACGAGCACGTCGCACTTTGCCAGCCTCGGCCGCCTTCTTTAAAAGTTCCAGTTTTCCGACATCATATGGTGTATCTAAGCCCTGGAGCTCACGAGTTCGTCGTGTTTTCCAAGCGTCCAGAATGCTTTGACCCAATATATTCTTCCTCGGCTCCCACTACCAGAATGTAAGTACTAGGGCTCTCCTTTGAATGGGGTTTGATATTAAGAGAGTGTGTTTACCGATGATTCTTCCTCTGGGAACCCTGTCCATCTTATCAGATACAGGCGTTGGCCATCTTCTGTTTTCTGGGCCAAAATGCGTTCAACGATGAACTCATGATCCGAGCCATATTGCTCATCATCGGTTGACTCTATGGAAATTTGGGAAATCTCCTCTTCTTCAAGCGAGGTGAACCTCCCTTCTGTTGATGAATGGTTGGAAGTCATTTGGCAGCATGAATTTCAAATGCACAAAGGACATCCAACTCGAAGTTCGGGAGAGGTAGTAGAGAGAGGTAGAGGTAAAATGTGTTCAATGTTGCCGACTCAATCCAATTCGATTTAGTGATGTCAAACGGAAGAGAATGTGATAGGATAAGTACCTAGCGAGAAGGCAGAATGGTTTGTTTGGTGTTAGATGAAAAAGGTATTTGGATGTAAGATATATGAATTTTGTTGACGAGAGGTAATAAATTACACGGGAGATTGAAGACTTAATATTGCAGGACATGAAGAAAGTGAAATGTTTTGTTTGAATTGTTTTGATTCCTACTTGAGAAAGTTATTTGCTCAAAGAAAAGTTGAATTGAGTCTATTCACTTGTAATCAAACCACCGCAAACAAAGACAGAACATGTTATCACGTGATCATATGTATTTTGATAGAGGGTGAGAGAGGTGTGAGAAGAGAAGAGAAGAGAAGAGGCAAGATTGATTAGTGAGCCTGAAGTGAAAGATTTCTTACGCTCTCCTTTGATTGTCTACCTACCTGACACCTAAATTGAGTGAGGCTTCCAAAAGTATCACCTCACGTGCAGCCAACCGCTCTGACATTGAATTTCGAAACCACCTGTCTGAATCCTCAAACAACCAAATAGGAACGAGAACAAAGGAATAGATATATTGGGTATCGATACAATATTGACCGAATACTGGATCCAAGAAGTTGTAGTCGTACATTCGTAGACGTTCTTTGAATCACTTTATCGATTCATATTCCGTCATTTAGCTAGTAATTCTCAGGGAATTCTCAGGAGTCAATACACTGCCAGATAGTGTAGTACGGAGTATACGTATAACGAGATGCAGCATCCATCCTCAGTGCTCTACCTGTCTACTCCTTTACAATATTCGTCAAGTGCGTACTTGGGTACCTGGTAAGTAACGTAATACCCAGCCAGTAGCTATAGAAAAGGAGAGATAAGACAAGGCGAAACCAGCTTCACTTCAACAAGGCTTCACCATTTCTCCAGGGGACCAGAAGTGTAAATACTAGGGATTTATCAAGTTAGATACCTCATACCTCGCACCCTCCTACTCCTCCTCCTACTCCTAGTATACAGTACCTAGCACGTGCCTAGGTACTTATTGAGGTGAGTGCAGCTTGTTGAGTATTAATCATACTCATGATTCAATTGATTTCTCTCAGAGTCAGTCAATTAATTGAATTTTAACTTCCATGGTCTAATATCATCTCAAAAGTTTCAGGACTGGTGAACCATACGTAGCTATGAGTAGGTAGAGATATAATCGTAATATAATCAAACTTCCATACAACGTTGGAGGACAAGTCGGAATACAAAGTCGGAATCACCCAACACCAACTTGTAAAAACATCAAAGTTCAAAGTTCAAAGTTCAAAAGTTTCCCCCCCCCCCCCCCCCCAAAAAACCCAAACAACAACCTTACAACCCCCTCGACCCCGGTTTCTCGCATACCCACACCCATCATCCATTTATCCATCGCAACAACGAAATCCGTTAACCTTTCCCCCCCTTCAATAATAAATTCCATTCTACTTCAACATCAATCATGGCGAATGACGAATACGACGTAAGTTTACAATGTCTCCATCACCTTCTATTCTTATCAACCAACTTAAACAGAATATGCTAACATCTCTGGTGATAGTTCCTGTTCAAGGGTAAATAAATACCACATCCCTCTCCTCTCAACCTTCTCCGTTGCCTTGTGATCATTCTTTCCGGTCGTCGCTCCCTCTAATCTCTTCTCTCATAGTTGTCCTTATCGGAGACTCTGGTGTCGGTAAATCCAATCTTTTGAGTCGATTTACTCGAAATGAATTCAACCTGGACTCAAAATCAACCATCGGTGTAGAGTTCGCAACTCGATCAATTCAAGTAGATGCAAAGACAATCAAGGCGCAGATCTGGGATACCGCGGGTCAGGAGAGATATCGCGCCATCACATCGGCTTATTATAGAGGTGCCGTCGGTGCTCTTCTGGTTTACGACATTAGCAAACACCAAACCTACGAAAATGTTACAAGATGGTTAAAGGAGTTGAGGGATCATGCTGACTCCAACATTGTCATCATGCTGGTCGGAAACAAGAGCGATTTAAGGCATCTTAGAGCTGTACCTACGGAGGAGGCCAAACAGTTTGCCAGTAAGGAATTCCTCATTTCTACCACCAAGATGTGATGCTGATCTTTGTCATTGCAGGCGAAAATAACCTTTCCTTTATTGAGACCTCAGCTCTCGATGCTAGCAACGTTGAGCTTGCCTTCCAAAATATTCTTACTGGTATGACTCCTCTCTACATATCTATCTACTCGCAAACCCTAACCATGTCTGGCTTCTCTAGAAATTTATCGAATTGTATCCCAGAAGGCCCTCGATAACGGTGATTCTGCACAGGCCACTATTGCAAGTGGTACAAATATTACACTTACGCCTCCTCCTTCAGACGAGGCAGCAAAGGGAGGCGGAAAATGTTGTTAAATAGTCAGGCGTTCTTACTTTGCGCAACTACACGGACATATTGGTTGATGGTTGATACAAAGGTGTGGCGTCTTTAAGTGTCATTGCGGGAGCATGGGGGGTTACGAAGTCAGGGCTAAGCAAAATGCTCAGCACTCGATGAGCGCGGGCTCAAGGATATCTTCCCTTTTTTTTCCAATTATGTTGTCCGGTGGTTCTTCCTCTCTGGGATTTCACGTCTGCAACGATCGCTATGCTTGTCTAATGCAATGGTTTTTGTCTTAATATCTCTCTGTTCTAAAGACTCTTTCCTCAAAACTTTCTTCTTCCACTGTCTCCATTGACTTGATCTTCGCCCATTTTCCTGATCTCATCACTAGGTTTGACCCAAGCAGAACTAGCATCAATCATCTTGGATGTGCCGAACTTATTCACACACCATTCGATGACACCATCAAGTTCCTCCTTACTTTGTTTCTCGAGAGATGCCTTCTCCTTCTCGCTTCCCTTTCCATTCATCTCCTTGAACTTCTGGACAGCGTCCAAAAACTTTTGGCCGTTATCTAAAGACTCCCTGTTGCCATCATTTCCATGCTCCTCCTTCCACGCTTTCCAAGTCTGACCACCCTTTCCCCAAAGCTCTGAATATATTTCCGACTCCTTGACATCACTGTACCATGCTCTTGAATTATCATAGTCGCCTTCGATTCGATGCAGGATTCCATGTAGGTACATGCCCTCATATGCTGGCGCCGACTGCATATGACGAGCTAGAAAGTGCGCTGATGGTAAGTCGAGATTTAAAAGGTGAAGAGCAGTCTCTAGAGTTGGATGAAGCTGACGGGAGGCGATTTCTGAGGTAAGCGTTGGATCGTGGGGCGAGGCAGGCGGAAGTAGTGGGGCTGGAATCTTGAGAAGGCGATTGTGAATGGATTTGAAAGTCGCCATGATGTTGTGGTATTGTGAAGGTATTATGTAGTTGTATTGGATGAAGAATACGAAGGTTCAATGAAGCAAATACTTGGTAAGTACTGGGTAGTTAGTATGGAGATTTGGTCAATACCTTTTACTACCATACAAGTATGAAAATTGGCAAGTTAGATTCATCGATTTACCACTTGCTAATTGAGAGCGTAATGGAAGACGTCATTACTTAGGGGGAAGGGGTTCAAAGGAAGCTTGAAAGACACAAATTGACTTCATCATGTACATCCATCCAGTTCACCATGGACTATGGACCATACAGTATGCATCAAGTATCATGAACTCCGTAGGTAGAATCTCAAGTGACCATGAGAGTTGCTGGTATTTTCAAGACCCCGACCCCAATTGGGAGTTCCAGATCTTGTGTTCTTAAAAAAGATTCACATTGCATGCAGGAACATGATGGCGTGAAGAAGATCATAATCTATCCCACACCTAGTGAACCAAAACCTCCGATACGATACCAAACAAAGTTCCTCGGTACCGGAACTCCACGACCCCATATCTCTCTCCATGTCATTACACCTAGCCACGAGACTGAGAATTGATCGATTGATAATTAATACCTACTGGGCTGGGTTGGAGGGACCAATGATCGATGGTATCTTATCCGAATCGCCGAATTATACTAGCAAGGATGTACACTGAGTATCGCGCTAAGATTAAAGGTCGCGCTTACGCTATCAAGAAATTCTTAAGAAAGTTTGGAGATCTCAAGAACTTTTTTGCGCCCGATAGCATTGAACATATATTTTTAATATACACAACACAATACAACATTCACAATGGCTTCTGTTTATAAGTCATTATCAAAGACCACTGGTCACAAAGAAGATGGTCCTGCAAACGGGGTTAAGAAAAATAAGCAAAGAGTTTTAATCTTGTCTTCGAGAGGAATTACTTACAGGTAAATAATAATTTATACCATTGCAGAGAATCTCAAGAAAATGCTAATTCTTCACATGTAGACATCGACATCTCCTCAATGACCTTGCGTCCCTTCTTCCTCATGGTAAAAAAGATGCGAAACTCGATACCAAGTCGAAGCTCTATCAATTGAACGAATTGGCTGAATTATATAATTGTAATAATGTATTTTTCTTCGAGGCGAGAAAAGGAAAGGATCTTTACCTGTGGATGAGCAAGGCACCCAACGGACCTACCGTGAAAATGCATATGCAGAATCGTATGTTCACTTTGATATGCTCCTCTTCTGGAAAAGTCTACCTTTTTAACACTTTTTAGTACACACAATGGAAGAACTTCATTTCACCGGAAACTGCCTCAAAGGATCCCGACCCATCCTTTCTTTCGATGCCTCTTTTGATAAGGAACCTCATCTCCGCGTTCTGAAAGAACTATTCCTCCATATCTTCGGTGTACCAAAGGGTGCAAGAAAATCGAAACCTTTCATTGATCATGTTATGGGATTCACATTGGCAGATGGCAAAATCTGGATTCGAAATTATCAAATCAGCGAGTCAGAACCATCGAAAGTGAAGGGCGCTGAAGAAGAAACTTCTACGAAATCTAAATCGAAGAGCTCGGGAGTCAGCGAGACGGAATGCAACTTGGTGGAGATCGGACCAAGATTCGTGCTGACACCCATTGTCATTCAAGAGGGAAGTTTTGGTGGACCAATCATCTACGAGAATAAGGAGTTCGTGTCGCCCAACCAAGTCAGAAGCGAGATCAGAAAGAAGAAGGCAGGAAGATATAATGCGAGAGCTGAACAGGGTATTGAGAGACTGGCAAAGAAGGGAGAATTGGGACTCAGAACGAGTGGAGGAAGACAGGCGCCAAAGGATGCCCTGGATAATGCCGAGTTGTTTGCTTAGACTGAGAAGATTCCCTAATGGCGTTTGGTGCATGGAAAATATGTATAAGGGAGAAATCAAGAGAAAAGTTTACTTTTTGCCAAACTTGGAACGGCTAACTGCTCATTTGCGGTGTGTGTTAAGAACCAATACAAATCCCCATAGTGTGACACAAACTACACACGCATATGCTAACCCTTCAAATTCTGTCAAGAAAACATTCAATGACAGAAATATCGATATGCACGCCTGCGCCCCTGCATCACCACCAATACTTATACCCAATCATTGCATTCCATTCACGCCATCACTAGCATCAGTCAATACGAACTCTGGTATTCTTTATCGTGTAGCTATCAAATGTGCACTCTATCTATCAAAGCGGGGGCATCTTCTATCGCCACTCGGCTGGGACATTTCAGCCAATGAAACTGCGTTAATTCATGATTAGTAATCAATTATGATCAAAAGCTAAAAAGCTACTTGATAAATAGTCAATTAAATTTAAAAAGAAATAACTATAGATTTTTATTTCTTTTTAAATATATAGACTATTTAGTATACTTTAGTAAGAATCTAATTATTAATTTATAAAGTTTATATTAAGATGATTTTATAACTCTAATACTAGTTCTTCTAAGTAAGTCTCTATACTTATACATTAGAGTAAATAAGTAAGAATTAAGACTATATTGAATAAATAACATACGCATTTTTCATATCGTTAGTAGAAACCAACTTCATGTATTCATATGTATCTCTTAAACCTAATTCGCTTTTGTATGTACAAGTTGTTCATATTGAACGCTAGACAAAGTCTAGTATTAATCCCCTAGCTACGCTTTCAACTGCGTGTAATAATCATTTAGGAGTCGAAGGTTACTTCAGAATAGAGAAGCAAAATTGGACCTGGCCCTAGACTAGGACGTGTCATGATCTTATGCGCATTCGAGTAGCGAAAACTTCTAAGCACGCTGATTTCTAGACCGTCAAAAAACCTCGTGGCCTTCATAAAACTGGCTTTTGTTCTTTGTGAAGCTGCGACACTGAATTTCATTTTGCATGAGATCTCTGGTTTAATTGCTCAAGATCCTCACCATCCTCGGCTCTCTTAGCTTTCTTTCTCAAAGGGCTTCGTGTGTGGCCATTGGTCAAACTCTCGGGTCTTGAGAGTTCTGCACCTGTCGCATCTTTCCTTTTCTTTCTATTCATCACCGCTTCCTGGGCTGAAGACTGTTGAGCGCGGAGCAAAGTAGACTGAGCAGGTGCAGGAGTCTCACCTGCAGGCTCTGTGGTACCATTGCTGGAACTCTTTTGAAGGTATTCTAGGCCAGCTTGCAGATCTCCAACTGCCTCAATAAGATCCGCGCTCATCTCAGTTAAACTCTTCTGCTGAATTTCGATCTTTCCGTTGAGATCTTGAATCTTAAGATCCAGGGTTGTGTAAGACTGTTCGAGTGTAGCCAGCCCAGCTTGAGTGTTTGTGGTAGCTTCATCAAGCTTCTTAGCAGTTGATCCGAGCTTAATTTGACCTTTAGTCAAGGAGTCTAATTCTTGTCGTAAAGACTCGGTGGCTCCATTGCCTGCATTTGTTGGGCTTTGCTTGCGAATAGATTGGCCTTGGAGGGCTACTACTTGACTCCTCAACTTTTCCAGCTGGGTGGTATGGATGGAATGCTGCTTTCTCAACTCTAAGAAGGTTCTTTCGGCATTTCCAATATCAGGATATTTTACTTCCAGCTGCTGTAACATGTTCCTCGCTAGATCTTCTGTTGATATATTGTTGAATCGAGTATTTAGGTGCCTTAATGCTACAGTATTCGCGTTTTGGTCGTTGTTCGTTTCGGTGATTCGATGAGCAATGCGATTTAGGTCTTGCACAAATACATCCATACGAAACTGAATATTAGTGATCTTTTCATTGACAGTGATATCATTGCGTTGAATTGATTTTGCTTGGTTATCGAGCTCCTCGACGCGTTTAATCAAAACTTGGTCCATTTGTTCCCGCTGCTCTTTGTAGAGCTCAAAAACTTTCTTAACATCCGTAATATCTTGCGCTGCTGTGGAAAACGGCGATACTTTCGTGATTGGTTTATTCATGCTGAGAGAATCCTTTTTTTTTAGAGAGTCCTCCAATTCATTCAGCCTAGATTCATAATTTTCCATTGTGCTTTTCAATTGCTCATTAACTTTAGCATCTTCCTGGGACATAGCGCGGCTAGGAGATCCAAGAAAGCTTTCGATCTTGTCGATTCTTTCCTCCAGAACCCTAATATCTTCTAGAGCATTACGAATTCTAGTCTGCATCACCCCGATCATTGTTGCGCTCGATCCGCTTGCTATTTTAGAGGGAGTCTGGGATATAGCAATGGAGGGAGCTTGAGAAATCTGCTCCAATCGACCAACCTTATCCTTCAGGAAGTTCAATTCCTCTACGGTAGTTCCAAGACTTTTGAGGATGATCTTATGAGCGTCTTTCATGGCGTCTAGCTCTTGTTCGTGAGTTCCAAGTTTTACAGCGACGTCCCTTTGAGCAGTCTGGAGCTCAACAAACTTTGTCATGTCGTTCTTTAGTTGACTGATTTTTTCCAGGTTCGACGACTTAAAGTCATCTAAGGAAACCTTGTGAGTTTCTGACGACTTTTCGAGGGATGTGACTTTATTTGTAAGAAGGTCAATATCATCACATTTAGCTTTCAAGATAGTGGATTGTTTGCTGGTCTCCTGCTGGAGTGTTGTCATCTTTCCCTCTGATTCGTTGATCGACGCATCATGCTTCTTCAAGGAATTTTCATGGCTCCCCAGGCGGGGACCGAGTGAAGCAAGTTCGCTACGAGTAGCTTGATGCCGCTGATCAAGCTTTGTAAATTGGTCGGCCAGATTATGGTGTTCGCGTTTTGTCTTGGCTTCGCTGGTTTCAATCATTTCTGCAAAGTGTGCCTCACTTCTTTTGATCTCGGCAACAACCTTGCGATTTTCGGCTTGGCTTTCTTGAAAGCGATCGTTGATATCGGAGAATTTATCTTTCTGGTCCATGGAAGTCATAGTTTTTTCAAGGTCATTCACTTTCTCTTCCAACTTCCGACAACGTTCCTGGAGGTACCTCGAGTCATCTGCGATAGGAGGCGAGGCTTTGATAACTAGGAGAGAGGCAATAATTTTAGCTGCTTCTTTCTGCAAGCTCTTAGCCTTCTCTAGCTCTTCATTGGTTTTCATAAGAACATCCTCTGCCTCAACTCTGCGTTTGTTTTGTACATCCATGTGCGTAGGGAAGCTTTGCATGATAGGACTCATCTTCTCTATTTCCTCAACTTGCTGTTTCAGACACTCTTCAGCCGAGTTTCGTACTTGATTTAGCATACTCCTAGAAGCTCCTTGGTTGGCAAATTGCATCAACGCATCAATAAGAGATTCTGACTGAGATGAGTCTGTAACAGGAACTTGTTTAGAAACGTTGGTGAGAGGGTTGACAGATTTTTCCATGATATTATTCAGTCTTGATGGCATGGAATTTACAGTGGAATTCGGATATCCCTCTGCACGATGACTGATCCCTATAGCTTGTTAGTTTAGATTGCATAATTTGATTCTGTTGAACATAATAAAGACTCGAGTTCGAAACCACAATGTTTTTAATGGCTCTTTCTATCCCATCCGCTCAAAACAAGACGAACTACTGCTACTTCCACAAAGAAAAATCAAGGAATATTTTTCTCAATTTAATCTAATTTGATATTGTTTTGGGAAGATAATGATGGCTTGTACTTGCCTTTGGATGCCAATTCAATATCGGTCGCTGCTGTTGTTGGTCTCGTTGTTGGAGAGCAATTATCAGACTTAGGAAGTTGAGTATTTATCGAGCTGGTCTCCTCAGAAGAGCGACTCCCTCGATTCGCCTTCTCCCCATTTCTCTTGGTGCCACTGTCTTTGTTCTCGCGACCTTCATCCAATTTACGACTCTCACGTCCCTCTTCATTAACTTGCCTGTCCCTGGTACCATGATTTTGAGCCGGCCTATGCCTATCATCACGTTGAGAACCTGCTGGTCCTCGTAGAGAAGGTCTATCCTCTGAGTGTTTGCGGCTTGACATGATTGACGGCGGCAGGAAAGAACTTCTTTGCCTTGCTTGTCGATGATCGAATCTTGAAATCCCAATATCAATTTTCAATTAAAGAGGTTGAAAAGCGAGACTGACTTTCCATAAAATGAATTGAAAGAACAAGAAAGCGAGTTCCCCAAGCAGAATACGAGCATTGATAAATCCTCCAATATGACTTGATAAGAAAGTTTGCCCTGTAGAGTTGAGAGACTTGTAAGGTGAAGTTAGAAATTACACTCGTCGGCGTGGACTTTGAGAAGATGGTGAAATGTTGCGAGGTTGTAGGTTGTGAAGTGTAAGTAAGTTAGTTGTGGGTTATGGTTAGAACTTACTCTCACTTCGAGTGAGGTTGAAAGAGTGTGTTTGATATTGGTATGGAAAAAAGTACCTCCTTATTTCAGACCTTTTAGAAACGCGTGTAAGCAATACTAGCTATGTATTTATGAATGAACAAACAGCCAGACGACTTGGAGAAAAGGTTGAAGGTAAGGTAAGGAACGAAAGGTGTGAGGAAAGAAAGTGAATACAGGTAGGTGAATGCTAAACAGATAGATAGAGATCAAATATGAGAGCTTTCTTAAGTCTACTGCGTAACTAGAGTAAATACGCTCTTAGATCAATTAAAAATTAATAGGGCATTTATTTCTGCGCTAGCAGGGATAGTACATATTCGAAAATCAAGCTAAGAGCCGAAATGGCTTAGTACTACCTAGCTACTGATGATGGTAGGTGTTCAAGGTTGTCTCCTTGCTAGAATTCCACATGAGTTGGATATATTCACCTTTGCGCTCTCATTGGATAAGCGTGAAATCTTACTACCTACCAGCTTACTATCAACTTACCTACTTATTGTTATTTTATACTCATAGGCTTTTTCTAGCACTACAGATGGTATACCTAGTAGCTATCTACCTACTCCTACCTATTCATACGTACTCGTATCGTAGTCTTCTTTCGTAATCTATTTCGTAGTAAAAGATTCGAACTTGGAATCCTTATTACCTACCTACCTACCTACCTACCTATCTAGGTACACCAGTAACACTTAAAGCTAGTATCTACTCGTATCAGCTGATCATTGATTTTAAAGCTCGACAATAAGAGTACCCGTGGACTGCGAAGTACATACCTAACCTCACCCTACCCTACCACTCGAAGCAAATCCTACATATCGATATCTAAATCTAATATCAGTCAGTGCTTGAGAACGCTTGACAACGCTTAAGAAACGCGTCGCGGCACTCATCAGATACCTAAACCTGGCCCCAAACTTTTTTTTATCTAACTTATCGGATAAGAGAAAAGAAGAGCGAACTATTTAACTTAACTAACTTCTCTCTTCCGCCTCGTCCATTTCATCATAACCTCCCCCATCAACAACTATTAATTCTTCCCTCTCCTTATTCACCTCTTTCAACCCTCAAATTCCCGTCAAATCGCAAATTCTGCACCATGGCTGCGGTAAGATTAATTCATCCCAAGTCAATTCCGTGTGGAAACTCACACAATTCTAGTCAATTCAAACCGTCTCGGAGAGCAAAGAGTTGCGCGGGCTCAATTTAATCGCCGCTCATTCTCACATTCGTGGCTTAGGTGTTGATCCGGATAGTCTTGAACCCCGCGCATCTTCTCAGGGACTTGTAGGTCAGGAAAAGGCGCGTAAAGCTGCTGCCGTCATTTTACAAATGGTCAAGGAAGGAAAGATAGCAGGTCGAGCAGTTTTAATTGCGGGTCCTCCGAGGTATGTGATCGTAGAGTTTGTCAAGAAAATCAATATTGACCCGTGTCTGTCAGTACAGGAAAGACGGCGATAGCAATGGGAATGGCACAATCTCTAGGCTCGGATGTGCCATTTACCATGTTGGCCTCTTCGGAAATATTCTCCCTCGAAATGTCAAAAACTGAAGCTCTTACTCAAGCCTTCCGAAAATCGATAGGCGTGCGCATAAAGGAGGAGAGTGAGATGATTGAAGGAGAGGTCGTTGAAATCCAGACCGACAGGAGTGTAACGGGTGGTACGAAGCAGGGCAAATTAACTATCAAAACCACCGACATGGAGACGATATACGACATGGGAAGTAAGATGATCGACTCCATGACAAAGGAGCGCGTGATGGCGGGTGATATCATTTCAATTGACAAATCCTCGGGCAAAATTACCAAGCTGGGTCGATCTTACGCAAAATCAAGAGATTACGATGCAATGGGTGTAGATACAAAGTTCTTGCAGTGCCCTGACGGAGAGCTTCAAAAGCGCAAAGAGGTTGTCCACACTGTGAGTCTACACGAGATCGACGTCATCAATTCGAGAACGCAAGGTTTTCTAGCTCTCTTTTCAGGTGATACTGGAGAAATCAGAAGCGAGGTTCGCGATCAGATCAACACGAAGGTTGCAGAATGGAAAGAAGAAGGAAAAGCCGAAATTGTGCCTGGCGTTCTTTTCATCGATGAAGTCCACATGCTGGATATCGAATGCTTTTCGTACATTAATCGCGCGTTGGAAGATGAGCTCGCACCTATCGTCATAATGGCAAGCAACCGCGGAAACTCTAGAATTCGAGGCACGAATTATAAAAGTCCCCATGGATTACCTCTTGATTTCTTGGATCGGGTCGTCATTGTTAGCACACATCCATACGCCAAGGAAGAGATTCAGCAGATCCTCTCCATTCGTGCACAAGAGGAGGAAGTTGATGTTTCCCCCGATGCACTAGCTCTACTTACTAAAATTGGGCAAGAAACTGGTATCAGATATGCCAGCAACCTCATCACTACATCACAACTTATTTGTGCCAAACGAAAGGCCAAGCAAATTGGTATCGAAGATGTTCAACGGAGCTTCACTCTCTTCTACGACTCTGCACGTAGCGTCAAATTTGTCACAGACTTTGAAAAACGTCTCATTGGAGAGGAAGGATGTGTGAATTTGTCAGTGACCAATGGTCATGGCGATGCGATGGAACTTTCATGAATGACGAAGGGCTCGAAGGGTTTAGATATGATCGTTTGGCGTTGGTCGTTCCTATTTGCTGTGGCACGCAAAGCAAATAGTAGAACTTTATGTTGTATATTAGGGCTGACTACAAGTGGGCGCAATTACGGAGATGTAATGGGATGGGCAAACTTCCTTTAGCTGAAATATGGTGCAATACACTAATCCTATGATATGTGAATGGCTTGGAGATTTCATTAATCAATGTGATCAATCGAGAACGATGTACTTGTCTTTGCATTTTCGCATAAAAATAAGCCAACTCTCAACATGTAACTACAAACTAATTGCGCCCCTTAATTATTTGTATCCCGGGTATCATGGCATAATCATAAAAAATCCGCAACTCTACTCCAATTGCCCTCCTGCCCTACTCGTTTAAACTCGACTCCCTCTCCAAAGTAGCCCGCATCTTGCCATGCTACCATAGTCAGGCCATCAAACGGGCCTTGTTTGGCAGCGCCGTCCCGACCATCTGTCCATCTATATTCCCACATTTTGGTGGGCGCGGGGCCGTTCTCTTCGTTCATAGCCACTTCTTCCGATGGCTCTTCCCAGTCTTCGCCCGTCTCTCTCCGATATTGGCGTATAAGCATCTCTCTCTCTTGCTCGTAAACATCCGTTTGGCCTCTTATGAGCAATTGATCGGCAGCGCCTGTAATAGCGTTTATGGCATCTCGTATCCTGGCCTGTTCTGGGTCTTCAATCTTCTCAGCATCCACATCCATAGAATCATCCTTTTGGGTTTGCTTCTTTAATTTCCATTTCGGTATTTTCTTCGTCTTTACTTGGCTCTTTCCAAGCCTTGCGAGCGCCTCGAGAACCGTCTCGGCTTTATCCAGTCGTAATATCAATGTTCGTAGGATATCTGAGAGTAACATGGCATCATCCTCGAGTCTTTTTTGCCGCCGTTCCTCTTCCCTTTTTTCGTGTGCTTCTGCAGCTTTCTTCATATCCTTTTTGCTAATTCCTTCCAGCCAAGTATCGTGCACTGCATCTCGATCTGCTGCATTTCGCACGAAATTGCCGTTCGCATCAAATTTGCCTTCTTCCTGTTCAGCCTTCATGTTGAAAGCATCAACCTTAGGGGCGTTCCTCTTCAATCCACCGGCACCAACCTCCTCGTCCACATCTTCTTCTTGCGCGGCCAGCACGGCATCTTCTTCGTCATCGCTGCTTTCCTGGTCATCCATCGCATGCGTTGATAACTTTCCTTTTGGATCCAATGCAAAGTTCCCAGATACATGACCTCCACTCTTGCTGCCTAAAACCTGACCTTCAATCTCATCTTCCTTCAAGAATCGTACTTCTTTCCCTTTTTTGCGAGCCTTCAATTCACTCTCGTCCTCATCGCCGTCCGCAAATTCATCCTCCAAGTCTGCAAACATGTCCGCATCTTCCTCCATATCCGTCTTCCCATTTTTCATACCAGGTTTTTCCTTGCTATATCCATCTAGGGCTTCCGCCAGGTTTACTTCGCCCTTCTTTCCTTTGGCTCTTTCGTCTGCACGCGCGTCGAAACCCTCATTATCAGAATCAGAATCGTAACCATCGATATTAACCGCTCCTCTTTTGGTACCAGTTCCTCGACTTCCGATAACATCTGCATCCAGCACTGCATCTTCCTCTGGTTCGTCAGCTACCAAAGCAGATGGGTTTCTTAGATCGAATTTTGGTTTCTTTGAAGGGCCATCCTCATTTTCATTCCGATGCGAACGAGCAAATTCTTCACCAGCACGTTTCGGTCGCGCAGCTGCGTATCTGGAAGACATATTGTATTGCTGATTTGCTATCCCTTTGAATTGAGAAGCTTCGAGACTTTGGAATATGAATAATATAAAGTAAATGCTGAGTACTTTCTATGCAAGGATCGGGAATCATTTGAAGCTTTAAGGTTTCGGAGTTAAGAGTCCCCCGCCATTTAGAGCAACCGAGAGAGAGAGCTGGTTCCTGCGTCATCTCTTGACAGCCTTTGAGCTACTACGAGTACAGCTTATTAACTTACTAAAAACTTCCATACTACACCAACACACCACAGCCCAAGAACTACATCTACTTACAAAAGCCATACAAACAATTTAATTACGAACAAGAAATTTACAAGAATATCTGAACTTTACTTCTCATCCAACTTTTTCCAGGCTTTCGGAGTTTTTTACGATACAGATTTTACCCATCATACCATAAGATACCGATCTTACTTATTCAAAGAAAATGGTATGTGAAACAATCCGCAGGCAATATATCCCTTCGCATACTGATGAAATTAATAGTCGTACTCGGGTTTTTATGAAGGAGATGACCCAGCTGCCATGTATCAAATGTTGCAGCAGCGCGGAATGCGAGGGCCTCCCAAACGTTTCGATGAATACTACCGATGTTATCCAACTGTCATGATACCCGGTCCTGAACGAGACAACCTTAATTACGGAGGGAAGATTATTATGCCACCATCTGCTCTAGAGAAGCTTACTCGATTACACATAACGTACCCTATGCTCTTCGAGCTCATCAACAGTCGACATCCCGATGGACCAAAATTAACACATGCTGGTGTACTGGAGTTTATTGCGGATGAAGGAAAGGTTTATCTTCCACACTGGGTACGCGCCCTTTCTGCCTCATCGAAAAGTATATGTTTAATCTAACCACTCAACTCCAGATGATGCAAACCCTTGGACTTGAAACTGGAGACCTCTTTCAGATCAAATCGACCGATCTTCCCCCTGCCTCCCTTATCAAACTCCAACCTCAATCCGTCAATTTTCTCGACATCTCCAACCCTAAGGCCGTACTCGAAAAAGCGTTTCGTGACTTCTCTACGGTCACTAAAGGCGATATCTTTAGCTTCCACTATAATGATACTATCTATGATATTGCGGTATTGGAGGTCAAACCAGTTACTGACAAAATGGGGGTTAGTATGCTCGAAACGGACGTTGAGGTCGACTTCGCAGCTCCGTTAGGCTATGTAGAACCAACTCCGGTCAGGGGTAATGGTAGCGGAACCAGCACACCCAGAAGTGCTATCGGCGGTTTACCTGCAGGTGGCATGCTTCACAGTCAAGGAACCATGGCACAGGCCATCAACTACGATGCCATTGCACCAACGTCTAATTCTGTCGCACAAGGCGCAAAAGCGGCCTCGTCCAACTTTGTATCCGGAGGTCACAAACTGAGCGCCAAGAAGGGCACGAAGACCCCCACACCTACTGCGTCAACTCCCGTTGCTGGAGTTAGCACGAACATCCCTGCTGTATCGGTTCGAAGAACGAATGGTCCTCAACCTCTTCGATTACCACCCAACAAACTTTTCTTTGGCTACGAAGTCAAACCCGTCAAAACCCAAGCCGATAAGGACAGAGAGAATGCAGATGCAAAGCAGCCCCATTTCTCGGGCCAAGGACAATCACTGAAGACCGGCAAGAAGGTGGAGGCCAAAAGCGAGCCAGCTCCAGAGCCTCAAGCCAAGGGCGATAGTATAGGTCGGAGATTGGATGGAAAAGATGCCAACAAGTAGTGGAACAGAAGCGGGTATATCATGATGATGGTGGCGTTTAAAGGCGGGTAACCTCTCTGGCGTTCGGAGGTTTGGCACGTAATGCTGCATGGGAAGGAGGTCATCTTATGCTATTTAGATCTTCGCGTTAAAGAAAATCTGCATTCTGATGATACCAGTAGGTACGGGACTCTGTGAAGCAATCTGTATTGTAGTCAAAAGGCACTGGAAATTGTTTAAGTGATCAACGTCCACCAAAACCATTCAGAGACCTTTCATTCGCATGTTAAATAATGCGTTGCCTAGCATCCAACCGCATTTTCCTCCGAGCTCAGGACCGGAAAATCGAAGAGCTTTCATAGTGGATACAAACAACCTCAAGATTGTAACCATCCAGGGCGGCCTTCCAAATTTCATGGTTTCATTTCCCAATATGGTAGGCATAAATGCAACTGTGCAAGCAACTATCGAACCCCTCTTCCTGCCATATTTGAGGATACACTTCGAGCGGTTATTCTGAATGCGTCTGCGCTCCTTCTTTAAGAATATCAATGCGATCATGTGCTAGAACTTCCTGTTCCTTATTCTTCTTGAGATACATAATGCTACAATTATTCCATACAACATAATTCTACTTTTGTGGACTTGTGTGGACTTCTTTTCTTGTTGGAAACCATCAATAGCACAGTTATCGATACGTATCTATCATAACATCCCATTCAAATACCGTTTTGTGGAATAATAGTGACACTCAAGTTTTTGGAAGGCATACGTTGCTATTGTAAGTTTGCTGTTGGCGCTGACCTAGAAGTATTGGTGAGCGCCTTAGGAAGCATGAATCTTCTTGACAAGTCGAAGAGACATCAACATTCATGGCTAACAGACTGGATAGTTTTCAGACATTCTCATCTTAATTATTAGATCCTAGCAGGAGAAATATATCCCTCGCAGCGACGATTTTACTGATAAGATAATTTACATATTACTCGTTGCTGAGGCTCCATCACAACAAGAATGCCGAATTCGCGTGGCAGGAGACAAAAGTTTTCTTCTCAGGAGGATGCGTACCTTTCCAATTTCAGAGAATGGCGAAATGAAGAAGTTTCAGAATCATGGGCTCAATTTCTCGCCAGATACGAGAAGAAATTCTGGACCGATCCCCATAGTTCGGCGTCACTATTTCGAAGGGCCGAAAAGCTTTCTGGTCATCGTTATCAGACTCTATCTCGAGTTGAAGAAATGATGCACCATATGCTAAAGATGCGCAAATCGAGTCTCTTATGGACATGGGGAAGAATTGGCCAGGCATTTGGTACTAATGCAAGGACAGCTTCTGCGGCATATAAGAATTTCTTAAAGAGAAATGGAATCGACGAAGACGAGAATGAATCTCGTCGTATAATGTGGACCGAGTCAGACAAGAGGAGACTCGGGCGGGCGCGTCATCTCGGCTACTCATGGGAACGTATATCTAAGCAATTCGGTCATGAGGAGTACATCTGCATGTCGGCACATTATATACAATCTTACGCGGGGAGCAAGTCTGGGAACTTGAATGCCTCTTTCCATCCAAAGTATTTTTTTTCTTTCATTGGAAAAAGCAGCGGGCATCCCATACACAAGTCAGCGAGTGCCTCAGAAATCAAAGATGAGGGTGAAGATTATCAATGGGTGAAGAGTCTCGTTGCACGAAATGAAAGAGGACAATCACAGCCTAGGTCTGGCGTCACAAATGCTAAACAATTGGGAAGCGACAGTTCTCAGTCATGCTTCACCAATTTTGAGCACATGAAGAGCCATTCTGTATTGGAATTGCAACACAATTCCGGGTTGACCGACCGTATACCAACAAAGCACTCGCTTGATAGGAACAAGGCTACAATGGCACCGACATCTGAGGCTGGCAGCCGTTATTATGCTCCCTTAAGAACAGCAAAGCCAATATACAGAGAAAGTCTTGCCAAAATGAGATTCAATGGATGTGCGGCGAGCCCAAATTTTCTACAAACACTTGATTCTCGGCTACTTGAAACCCACCGCAGAAACGGGTTTGGTACCATAGGTCTCGTCAAAATCGACACAGAGACAGCCAGCCATTGTTTTCCGGCCAGTCTCAAAAATCGGAGAAGTTACAAGCCCAGCTGTAGTTATGAAGAACTAGACGGACCATATGTCAAGGTGAAGAAAGAAGTGGAAGATGACGAAGGCAATGAGAACATGACATATTGCATGATTAGTAAAGCAAGATGACTTGGATTCATCTCTGCAATGTTGAATGATACAGACCTAGGGTGTATCGTTCGAGAACTTTATACTATTGTTAATTTTGTTACGTTACTGACAAACCTATGAAGAGGGAGATGTTGCACTTCTGGGACAGCATGATTAGCCAAACATGTATTATCTTTAAATTCTAGACTTCATGCATGGTCAAGAGTAATCCTCAGAGGAAAATGGTTCATTTGCTTAAAGTATTAAAATCCCAAAATGAAAGAGTTTGATTCAAATCGACAAGCAAATATTACACAGTGAAGCTAAGCAAGTTATTCTAACTCCCCACTTCCCAACTTTCAGTGAAACAGTACTTCAAGAGGAATCCATAAGAACCATCATCGTGGTTTTCCTCACTCTTGAACGAAGTGGCACGCCTGTAACCCAGGGTGTTCAATAGTCCGGACTGCAGTCTAAAAATGAAGATTGACAAATCGCCAAACCGATTAAAACATTCAAATCATATGAAATTGTGGAATTTTATCGGAAGATTGAATTGTTTTCATATTTCTAACTGGTTTTAGACGTTCAACTCCTTATATTGTTGGACTGCAGTCCGGACTATTGGATACCCTGTTCCTGTCCTGAAAATTGGTGTTATCGTATCCACTGACGCTTTGGGCCCAGGGATCAAAACAACATCCCTGCTCATCTCGATACACGGTTCCAAAAGACTCCTGGTATCCAGTTTGTTCGTGAAGAGGCGGATCAAAGAATGAAGCGTTCGTCGCATGGTTGTTAAGACTTGCCGTGCTGCTCATGGAACTGTTAAAACTGACAACACCAGGGGTAGGGAAGTTGAGACTGTTTGGAGATGTGGGTGAGTTCATTGAGAAAGGGGTTTCGAGACGGGCGGACTCTTCTGGAGTGGAGAAAGAGATATAGAAGTCGGACTCGGTTTTCATCTTTGACTGAGGAGTGATGGGTGTGGCGGGCTCGCGCTTGGTGACTTCTAGTGTGGGGAATGAGCTGCTATGATTTGTCTCCATGTCACTTGTATTCATGTAGAGGGGTGTATGGGCGTTCTGAGACTCATATTTCAAGTGAAAGGCAAGGTTCGCGCTATCGAGAATGTCCTTCTGATTTTTGAGTTTAGGCTCTCGTCTGGCGGATTTTTTCTTCTCGATCCTGGAACGTCGAGGAGTAGCAATCTTCCTGGCATGGACGGGCGATGATGTTGCATTGTCCATTTGTTTCTTGAATCGAGAGTAGCGCATTCGAGCAGCGTGACCGTTAGTAATTTCTTGAGAAAGAATAGGATCATGCGCTACTTTGTTCCAATCAATCTGCGCAATACTTGTCAGTGTTCCACTCACACAATGAAATTTTCCATTAATTGAGGATTGCATACATCTTTGAGGCATTTTTGACTAAGTATCGCATATAACAGGCGATTAATGGCTCCGTCATTGGTCATTGTTTGATTCGCTCTAGAACTAGCCAATTTGATGACCGAGGGGTAACATACGTAACTTCTAGTTCCTTCGATGTATTTAAAGGAGGGGGCAATGAAGGTAGATTGAGGGGATTAGGAAGCCGTTTGGCGTAGATAGCAGGGTATGGTTGCTTCCCTCGCTGACGCAATAGAGAGCAGATGGCGTTTTGGAGTCTTACTTTTGAAGGCGAAGAAGGACAAATATTGAAGGTAAGAATGGTGTTGGGAATATTTGCAAAGAGGCGTGTGAGGATTTGTGAGGGGAAGATATAGAAATATTCATCTTAATGCACCAATCTTGCGAGGAAGTTGGTAGTAAATTGTGCATTTTCCAAGCTGATTTTATAGAAAGAGAACTTGAGAACATTTGATATTCTATTGAACTACACACAGATATTGCTTTTGGGAAGGATATGTGTAGTCAATCAATGATCTGAAAGGAAGATGAAGATTTACAGAAAGGGTGTTCAATCTGCTAATATGTGGCACGGTGATTACGACCAGCGCTCGTGCCCCTTTTCAGTAGATGTATGAATACAACCCCAGGGTTTGAATGAACTATCTATCAAACAAAAACTTGATGAGGTGGCATTCCTTTTCTTTTTATGTATGCTTAGGTAGCTTGAATGAATGGAACAAGTAAGAGTGTTGTAAGGATAGCCAAGCGGTTGTTTGATGGTAAAGCAATACCTGAGACACGCACGACAAGGGAACAAACACTTATTTACTTTTGACGATGCTAGGTATCTATGGATTATGATTGAAAACATTGTGGTTATTTGCATTATTTCCCAGCCCTGCTTCCATTCTACATTTGCTTTGCCTCACTCAATGTCGTATGATTGCATGAATACTACCCACCTAGGTAGGTAGACAAAAGAATGTGAAGATTGAGCTACGCACTATGTAGGTATGAAGATGATCAAAGCCTACTGAATTTTTGACTTTGAGTTGAATAAATGATGAAGTGAAGATTCAGATTGTTGAAGTTGCAAGTTGAATTCTAGAAACTCTTTTAGAAAATCTATCACAACCTTGGAAGGCTTTGCATCTACCTAGGTCCACGAGTACCCTTTGTATCTACCTAGGCACTCAATGCTACATTCTTAATTCACTCACTTGCAGAAATCATGTCATTTGGTTTGAAATTCACTATTCTCTTATGATGTATCTCTCCACAATCCTTCTCAATCTTGTTTCTATCCTCCACCTATCTTCTTCCCAACCCTACAACTTCATCCATCTACAAACCCAAGCAGCAGCAAGAAGAACAAGACCAACTTCGAATCTCGCATTTATCCATCAATTATGCCTTCTCAGTGGGATCATAGGGCTGACAAGGATTTGTTGTTGGCTATCATCGAAGGAAACAATCTCAAGGCTATTGAATGGCCCACAATTTCTGAGAGGCTCGAAAAAAAAGGCTATTCTTTTACCAAGGAGGCTTGCCGGTACGTATGGAAATTTGTTTCATATCTTATCCACGGTCTATGTGTGTTCCTCGACTTATATCAAAGATTCTGGTCGTTGTTTCGATTTGAATGGTCTACCTCCAATCGAAACTGAAGTGAAGTGTTTCTCAACTACCACACATTACTATTCTGAAATCACCCCCCCCCCCCCCCCGCATATATCTCCATCTACATGATTGCTGGCTTCCTTGAATCGCAGCAATTCTATTTCTATCACAGCCCTTTTGGAACAATTCTTACACGAAGACTGACAGAGCAATTATAGACAACATTTCCAGAAGATCAGAAAAGAATCTCGCACCGGCTCTCCCTCTGCTTCCACCAGCACCACTCCTGCTGCTACTTCTGTCAAGAAACGCAAGTCCAAGGCTGCTTTTGTTGAGAAGGGACAAGAGAATGAGGAGGAGGGAACGCCCTCAAAGACTCAATCGAAGCGGGTCAAGAAAGAAAGTAATGATCAATCTGCCGCCGAACTAGGAGTCGAGAGTGAGGAGTAATTGTGGCCAATGATTGTCGGTAAGTACTACGTCATCTCTATTGATGGATAACCATAATTTTGTGCGAAGAGAGCCGGAATGCTGACAATTGAATAGTCTAGACAATGCTTGGCTTTAAAGGGATATTCTCTCTCGCTGCAAGTTATACGGTAGCCAGGATGGAGAAGGCTGGGCTGTGCATATTAGACATCAAAGACGGGGCAACAAAGTAACTCGTAGTCTACCTGACCTCACTTACTTTCAGATGGTTGAGCTTTCTTTAGTCGGTGATGGAGCGTTGGAGGGATAGTTCTTCTGCATATACTGTCTTACCGTGGACGTTGATCTTATCACTAGGATTTGTCATACTTCGTGGAAAAAGAATAAAAAATGGCATACTCAGACAACTCCCTTTCCGATCTTTTCTTTCTCTCAATCGTGCTAATCTATTTTGATGCAGATATTGGCTTGCCTATACAATGATTGGACCTAAAGCTTTAGCCCAAAGTAATTGAGTCGTATTGCCAGGTATCGAATGTAGCTAAATAATCACCGCTGGAGGTTTCTTCATGGCCCTTGCGAATATGTCTCCTTTGTATCGATCAATCTACCTTTTAGCACTTCGACTAGACTCAAGAATGCCATGCACTTGAAGATTTAAGATAAATAACTTCTGATAATATTCTCTACTGTTCACTTCAGTATTCACCAAAGATAGCAGGAGCAATGGAAAATTCTCCAAAACTAAAATTATTATCTAGAACTTCAAATGATTGAATCAATTTGAATGATATAGATTTCAGATCATTGATGAATTTTTATGGGATTTTAAAGGAATCTGTGAAAATACATAATAAGTCTACTAAATCATTTACTAATATCTTACTAATCAAGAGATATCTTGATGACTAATATATTTATAATATGATTTTATATTATAAAATTATAACGTGGTTTATCAGTGAGTAGATTATATCAGTAAATAGATCACTTTCATTTCAATTCATTCTCTTTTCTTTCAATATATGTTTTATTAACAATCTATAATAAATTCGAATAATCAAGAAGCTTATATATTCCTCACTATTAAAACTATTCAAAAAAATAAAAAAATGAATATTCAAAAAACTATAAAGCTATATAATATTCTGAATATAATATTACAATATAAAATCAAAGGTTTTATTTCTTATTTCAAATATTGATTTAAATCTTATAATCTTTTAGAATTAAAAAAGAATATTATTTCTGAATATATAATCAATATAGATTTAAGAGATTTTCTATTTGAATTTAAGAATATAAAAAATATAATAAATTATATTTTTGAATCAAAGAATATAAAATATATTAAAAAACTTTGAATATATTGATTTATAAAATATTAAATTGAATTAAAAATATATTTTAATTATATTTATGATTTTCGAAAAACTCTTTATAAAAATTCTAAATTCCTTAAAAATTAATTTTCATTAATTATAAATATATAAGTGAAATATGATATTTTGAATAGAGATTTCTATAATTTTAATAAAATAAATTTTATAATAAAGATTATATATATAATAATTATTATTATTAATATTAAGAAAT